GCGTCTGGGATGAACGCGGTGGCTCTGGGGCTGCTGCTCCGCCCTGTGTGGCGGCTGCGGGCCTGTCCGCGCCCAGGGCTGAGCACAGAGCGTCCTGCAGGGAGGGAATCCTGCGCTGGGAGGCTGGGGAGACACTGGGACGGGTTGCCCAGGGAAGCTGTGCCTGCCCCAGCAGTGTGGCAGTGTTGAAGGGCAGGCTGGATGGGGCTTGGAGCAGCCTGGGCTGGTGGGAGGTGTCCCTGCCCATGCAGGGGGTGGGACTGGATGATCTTTCAGGTCCCTTCCAACCCACACCAGTCTGGGATTCTCTGATATACTGGAGAGAGAAAATCAATGGGAAAGCAGTGCTGCTTGTGTGGTGTGGCTGGTGCCTGCCTTACCTCTTTGTTTTCTTGTTTTGCCTGCCCCTTCCCTCATACTGAATGGATGAGTTGTGTCTTTTTTTTCTTGAGATTGTGGTGTTCCTGGCTGGATTACCCTCTTACTGCTCAGCTCCACCTCAATCCCAGAACTGTGGGTCTTGAAGAGATTTCCAGAAGTTACCTAATTCCCCTGCCTTACCATGGCAGGGTCAGTGTTGCTGCTGACAGACATTTGTTTAACCTGGTTTTACTGTTCACAATTTCCCAGTCTCTAAGCAGCATAAACCTTTTCCCACTTTTCTTCCATCCACACCCTTTGAATTTTCCTTGGCTTCCTCCAGCTCCCAAAGAGAGAGTCAAAGATTTTATCTTTTCTTATCACTTAGTTGCTTGCCAATAGTTGCAAACCTTAAGGTTTTTAAGCAAGCCACCCAAGTTTTTACTCTGTACCTAAAACCTTGGTGTGAGGAAAGGATGTAAGTCTTGAGTGTTGCTCATTTCTCCATCCAGAGGCAGCCACACAGCACCCAGGACATCACTCTGGCTTGTTTTGGTGTTTGTGTCTAGAAGTCCAAGGCTTGGTGGTTATATCAGTACCAAATTATGAGTAATAAAGCAGATTTATTGCCCGTTTAAAGCAAACTAATTAATAATCCTTTGTCATATGCATCACAAGGTGCCTAATTTTCAGGCCTGGTTTTCGCTGTGATTAATTTTTTACCTACTGAGATGGATTTGGCTTAACATCCCCATGTCATTTGGTAAATGAGTTCCTTAGCTGTCTTTTTGCTGGGAAATATCCTTAGGTTGGCAACTTCCTTCTCATCCTGTCACTTTCAAAGCAGCAGCTACTTTGGTTTGGTTTTTTTTCCACTGCTGCTTGAAAGTAATTTTTCTTTTCTTTTATAGTTGGGAAGACCTCTCTGATCACCAGGTTTATGTATGACAGTTTTGACAATACTTACCAGGTATGTTGTAGTGGGTTTTTAAAAAATATATCTATATATCTATATATATATCTGGGTAAATCTGTCCCCTGCTGCTACGTTTCCCCAGGAGGTGTCAGGTCAATATCATGTGTAAGGTTGTCCAGGATCCTTGCAGTGGAGATGAGACTTCATGATGAAGCCCAACATCTGGTGTGATGTCAGGAATTAAGTGTATGCAGGAAAGAAGCCAGGTTTAGATCCTGTCTGCATACATGAGGGGCTTCAAGGAATGGGAAGAGACATTGGTTTATGGGGTTGGCTGCCAGAGAAAGGTGATGGTCAGGATGGGTATGGAAGTCTCAGGAAAGAAAGAATAAGACCTGAACATACTTGTGGTAGTTCTTGGCCTCTGCCATCTGAGTCCAGAGTGCATAGGTGGATCTGCAAGAAGTCACCATGGTGTGTTCTCTCAAGTCATTTGATTTAGGACTATTTTTGATTTAAAGCAAAAGGCTAGAAAAAGCCAGGGAAATCTTGGCAGGGACAGAGTAGGGTAGGGATGAAGAAGTTGCAGATGGGAAGCTGAAGATGTGCAGGAGGCCTGAAGATAGCAGGAGGAGCTAGGTGCCTCAGAAGCACTTAACAGTATTCCAGCTTAAGGAAGATAAGACTATGGTGTTCTCTTTGAATTCAGGCCAGAAAGAGATACTGGTTTAGACTGGAGTAATTTTAAGCTGGAAAAGGAAGAGAAAAAATTGCTGTCCAGCAGTGGAAAGAGGTTAAGAGAAAGAACTTCCTGGACATGAGCCTTCTGCTTGTCACTGGAGAGGGAACACGCTCTGGAATGAAAGCCCCAAATACAAACGTGGCTTTTTAGCTTTCAGCACAACTGCCTGTCACCTGTATGTGTAGTTTGCTCCACCTCTCATTATTTCTAATGAGGTAACTCCTACCAGAGGGAGTTGCAGTAGACCAAGAGGAGATGCCTGTTCAGATAGGATCTGTGTTGGGATGTGGGAATGCCTGAGGGTAAAATCCAGACTCCAGGTTCTTGTGCAGTGTTGGAAGAGCTCTGTGAAACCAAGGTGGTGCAGATACCCAGACTGCTCTGCTTTTATCAGCTCCGTTGGAGGCAAAAGTCTTCAACAGCTTAACTATAAGTTTCTGAGAGCTTGTGGAGAAAGGTCTGATGTGCAGGTGCTGGAAGGGAGGGGGGGGAGGGCTGCAGTTACTGATGCTTTTCTTCTTTCCAGGCGACCATTGGAATTGATTTCCTGTCCAAAACGATGTATCTTGAAGACCGCACGGTAAGTGAGGCAGTGAGGCAGCTGCCTGGTGCTGTGGCAGCTGCAGGGGGAGCACTGCCTGCTCTGCCTGCCCCTGCCTCCTCCACTGGCTGCTGCAATCCCACAGGATTCGAATCAAACCACTGACCCACTCTCCTGTTTCTGGTGCTTCTTAATATCTGGTACCTATCAGGTGGAATGAACTAAAAATCTTTTCATTCCACATCGGGGCAAGCTAATGTCTGTATGCCAGGCAGTGCCTGCTCTGTGTACTCTAGGCATGGTTTGCTCCCAGAATGTGCAGCTCTGCCTTTGGGATTGTCAGTATAAATGGGGCTGAGCAGACTGCAAGTATTTCCAAGCCTTGGAGTTACTCACCATTACCAGTGCTGCCATAGATCCTCCCCATAGAAAGGTTCTTCTCTTAAGAAAGCAGTTTTGCATTTAGCTTGCATGAGATTCCTTTTCTACATAAAGAGATCCCTCTCATCCCTCTCCTGTCTTTCAGTATTTGTCTTTTCATTAGTTCACATGTTGCTACTGCTTGCCTTTTTGCTAGTTTTACTGCTGGCTGAGGAGTATGAAACTGTTGGGGGGAGGAAGGGACCAGAGGCGTGATGGAAATCCTTTGTGTTGCTTTGGGTCTGGTGCTTCTGAAGAAGTCTCAGCCCAGTGTGCGTGCTGAGTTTCCTGAGTGCTTCTCTGCCATCTCAGCAGTCATTCACTGTTAGAAAAGACATGGCTTAGTCTTTGGGAGAAACGACTAGGATAAAATTCTTCAGTAGTGCTGGCAGAGGCAGAAGGAGAGAAAAGTCTTGGGAATGCAGGTTGACACCTGTGAAGGCAGTTTGGAGTGCCTAGGTGCTGTTTTCAGCAGTGGTGTCTTGATTTCATGTGGTTGTGTGGGTC